CTTTCTCTCCCTGTACCCTGGAAGCCAGCTTGGTTTGGAGACTCCAGCAGGACTCTTACAGAAATGCTGCAAGTATGGGTTCACACCGTTGTGCCGAGGTACTATGCGCATTAACGCATGTGTTACAACAGTGCACAAAAATGCATGCTATGCATGTTGGTGCTCTGAGGTGCCAATCATTTTTAGTGCTCCCCAAATACACCTTACCATCAGTTCCCCAGTGTTGTGTATTGTGGTGCACTGTGCTACAAAAAATGAATGTAAGCGCCTTTTTTTTAGTGCATTTGGCAGCACATTCAAATGAGCAAGCTGCCTTAATGCAATGCATGCTAACAGGTGTGTACTAATGCCCTTCAACAATGTGAACCCAGTCTAAAACATTGTTTAAAATGCACAGATTCACTTTAAATTAAATTATCCGTGGCCGTATCCATCAAAGCTTTGCTGCTCTGTGTTCTTTTTTTTTAAATCATATACCCTTTTTTTCAGGGCTTGTTTCTACTTGTTAACGAAGCTTTGTTAAGGCTGTGCTTGATACTGGCCCTCTGTAGCTGTGAAGAAGTCTTCAAGGTAAGAACGAAGAAATTCAAAGGTGGGCCTTTCTTCTGGCTGGTCATTCCAGCATCGGAGCATCAAATCATAAAGTTCCTTTGGGCAATGTTCAGGCTGTGGCATGCGATATCCACGTTCAAGGTAATCTATCACTTCAGGATTAGTCATACCTATGAAAAAAGGAGAAGATATTGAAACATTCTGTTTACTGTCATCCTAACTTACTACTGCCGTGCTGAAAAAGCCATGAAAGTAACGCCTTAGATAGGTGAGGGGATCCCAGTTCCCAATAACCTGTGCTGACTGTCAAACCTTCAATTTTGATAGCGGAAGGTTACAGAAATGCTCACTGCATGTCAGCTCTGGTGCAAAGAATATGGCATTTTCAGTCCTCTGATCTGTGGACCTGTTCTGACATATGTTGTACCCTACTGTAACTTTCATTTACATTAGAGGTGAATGGAGCATTGTCTATAGATAGCCGCTGAGAGCTTTCACTGTCAGAGTAGGAGAGCACTTGCATCATCATGGTCTTCAAGGTCTTTTGTGGACACGCTAAATAAAATGAAGCCATTATGCAGACTAGTATACTGTATAGCTGCCCTGAAAGGACTACACTAAAACTAAAACTGGAGAGTGCAAAATCTGGTGCAGCTGTACATGGTAGCCAATGTACATATTGACACAATCCAGTCACACCATGGATCTCCAATATGGTCCAAAAAAGGGTTTTATTGCAAAAAGATCACATCACAAAAGATGCAACGTTTCGGAGCTGCGCAAGGACCCCTTCGTCAGGTATGTGATGAGGGAGGGTAATATTGATTACAGTAGTGTGCGGTGGGACGTGTCAGACCAATGTTGATCAGAGCAGTATTCAGTGTGGTATAATGGACCACAGGATAGCTTCTGTGTGATAGCTATGTGGTCATGCTTTCCTATGTGCTGGCAGCACGGGTCTTTTAACCTATGCTATAGCACTTAGCAGAAAACAGAAAGTATAAGTCCCCTTTCACATGATCGGTCCAATCAGGTCTGCCGGTCCGCTTTTCAGGTGGACTCTAGTAGCCAATCGGCTTCTAATTTCAGCTTGTTCAATTAACCTTTGCAAAAAAACCTGGAAGCCGATTTGTTTCCATTCAGAGCTCCACCAGATTTTGCACTTTCCAGTTTTAGTAAATCAACCCCTAAGAATTTTTTTCATCTTGCAACCTACCAGGATATGGAATGCGCCCATACGTGATGATTTCACTTAGAAGGACACCAAATGACCATACATCTGATTTAATGGTAAATGTCCCATAATTTATTGCTTCTGGAGCTGTCCACTTTATGGGAAATTTGGCACCTGCAGATCAAAAGAAATTATTAGTAAACCAATCAGGACACCAGATCTATTCAACAAATCAGGGCTTTAACAATGTGTCTTTAGTTATTTCTATGGACATACACATCCTTATTACACTCATGCCTAATAGTACTTAATAAAAAATGAATGGTATAGACTTGTGACCTCCAGGGACCACACACCACTAAAGAGAAACCACAATATTACAATTCAGAGTAGACATCCTATTTATAGTGGTTAGTGTAAAGCAGAACGATTTTCTTTTCTGCAACTGTGTTGATGGGGGAATCCCTCCTGCAGAGCCATTGTGTGAACACAGATACTACTGCTAGATGCTATAATAGCCACTAGCAATAATCGCATGTAAAATCTGGCAGATTGGTCGTACCCAAGTTGATCAATTGATGGTTTGAATCTCAGCCAGTCCCTGCTGAACTGGCTGAGATTCAAACTGTCTATGGCTGGCTTAAACAACCTGGGTCAAGCTGACCTGAGATACCCAGTGACATCAGCTGGCAGGCCTTGTCTACTTTTATTAAAGCATAAGTTGCTATTAAAAATGATACTGATCAAATTTTTTTACACAACTTCTCCCATATGAGATTCAGTTAGAAAAGGTGTGAAGAATGTGTCAAAGCAGTGTGAATCTTGGGTGAAAACATTGAAAAATACACCCCTTCTTTTGTTAAAGTACTATATTCCTAGATTGTAAGCTCGAAAGAGCAGGGCCCTTGAACCCCACATATTTTGTTTTGTTACTGTATTGTCTCATGTTCTGTCCCCCACTCTAATGTACAGTGCTGAGCAAACCTTTTAGCGCTATATAAATACTGTATAATAATAATATCATAAATGACTGTCTACATGCACTTGCTCCAGCATCATTTACACATCATTTTTCTGGATTTGCTTGTACCTTCTTCTTTGGCTGTATACTCGTTGTCCTCTATTATGCGAGCTAACCCAAAATCTGCTATTTTGCAGCACAGGGTCTCTGACACCAGGATGTTAGCAGCTCGCAGATCCCGATGGATGTAATTTTTGCGTTCCAGGAATGACATTCCTTCTGCCACCTATTGATGAAGAAAATAGTCAAATAAAGAGTAAAATATTTAAGAAATGTAATTGGTATTTTGAATTTGCTATTGAATAGTGAATAGTTTTGAATGAATAGTTTTGAAAATGGAAGGGATATCATCACATTTGATCTTTTTATTGTCCTTTATTAAGTGTTCTTGCAAGAACACTTATTGTTATCTCACAAATATATTCTTATTCTTATTATAGCCAAATTTACCACGCTAACTCCTCCCACAGTTTTTACACTACAAAGACAAGTAATATATCAAATTGTGCGGATTGTTCCCGATCGGATTGCTATTATTTTGTGGAACGTTTCGCCAAATGGTTCACGAAATATCGTGGTTTTTGTGGTGAACTTTTCCCATAGGAATGAATGGAGCAACTAGAGTGGGAGCTGACAAAGCTAGAGTGTGGAAGGAGAAATCAGGACATGATTTCTAAACTGCCATAACTCTGTCATTTTCAAGCCCACCTACACATATCTTATATCAAAACGTTCAGCTAACCCTGCTGTCACTAAAAATGTTCATGGCTAAGCCATAGTCCTGATACTTTTCACAATATGACCATTTGTTTGCAACTCACACCGCCCATTGACATTCATTGAATCTCCACTCTAGACACCTGACATTTGAAGGGACATTTTTAAACTGCGACTGCCTTCATTTTTAATATTTCAGAGACATACTATGCATCAAAATGTAGGTCTGGGTCTTGTGATTCTCACAATATAAAGCTCTTTGCTGTAGGATTTGCACTTTTAAAACTACAACCGTTTGAAGATGGCAACCGCCAGTGAAGTTGGCAAGTTGGAGCAGTGTGTTTATAAAAGCTCCTCTCAGCTTGCTGTGAGTGAGTGAGTGAGTGAGCGAGTTGCCATAGCAACCGAAGGTGAGTCAGCAGGCAGCAGAGTGACCAAAGCTAGACTGTTAGCTGAAAAATAAAAGTTGAAATGCATTTCTCACTCTATCAGGCTTGCCATGTGCACTTTTTACATTTGATCAATCACTTGGTTAGGGTTGGATGCAAGAACACTTCACATAATTTCCCCAGAAATTGTACCTTTTCTAGTTAAGTGTTCTTGCAAGAACACTTATTGTTATCTCACAAATATATTCTTATTATAGCCAAATTTACCACGCTAACTCCTCCCACAGTTTTTACACTACAAAGACAAGTAATATATCAATACGTGCGGATTGTTCCCAATTGAATTGCTATTACTTTGTGGAACGTTTCGCCGAATGGTTCACGAAATATCGTGGTTTTTGTGGTGAAATTTTCCCTTAGGAATGAATGGAGCAACTTCAGTGGCAGCTGACAAAGCTAGAGTGTGAAAGGAAAAATCAGAACATGATTTGTAAACTGCCATCACTCTGTCATTTTCAAGCCCACCTACACATATCTTATATCAAAATGTTCAGCTATCCCTGCTGCCACTAAAAAAGTTCATGGCTAAGACATAGTCCTGATAGTTTTCACAATATGACCATTTGTTTGCAACTCACGCCGCCCATTGACATTCATTGAATCTCCATTACCAGCCACCTAAAATTTTAAGGGACATTTTTAAACTGCGACTGTGCCTTCATTTTTAATATTTCAGAGACATACTATGCATCATGCAAATGTAGGTCTGGGTCTTGTGATTCTCACAATATAAAGCTCTTTGCTGTAGGATTTATACTTCTAAAACTACAACCGTTTGAAGATGGCAACCGCCAGTGAACTGAGCAAGTTGGAGCAGTGTGTTTATAAAAGCTCCTCTCAGCTTGCACTAGAGTGAGTTGCCATAGCAACCCAGCTGTATCAGCAGCCAGCAGAGTGACCAAGGCCACTCCGCCCACTCCAATTGTAGACTACTGCTGCCGGCAAGAACACTTCACACAATTCCCCAAAATTGTAGATTTTCTAGTTCATTTTGTTATTTTACCTTGGACCACATCTTTTGTGCTTTTGAGGCTTGCTTTCTTACCTGAGCTGACATGTCTATGAGTTTATATACATTTAGTTTGAGGCCGTGTGTTGTCTTCAAATAATCAACCAAGTTTCCTGTAGTAAAGAGAAGTTAATGCTTAATTTCAAGATCAAAACACAAATTGTATGATTGAATACAAGTAACTCCTTTACCCTTTCAGGATTTTGCCTCTGTCTGAGAGAGTGGCAAAAGCTGGTAGAAATTTCTTGTGATACAATTGATTTCACAGATAAGGGATGTGATATCACTGAATCTTCCTTAGTGTATTCTGCCTTTTTGAAGACTGTTATTTCACTAAAGCTATTCTGACCCAAGGCAACTCTAGCTTTTCTGTTCTGCTTTAGGCCATTGAGGGTGGATAATGGATAATGACCCAGCGTTTATAGACTATACTGTATCATATGCCATTATCCTTTTTGGTGTACTGAGGAACAAGTATGAGCTCATCAGCTAATCTGTTCTTTATACTAAGCTTAACTAAATAGAAAATGTAGAAACACAATCTGTCAGAACCCTACCTTACTCTTGGCAAAGCTATAAAAACTAAAAAATTGTTATAGGGGAGTTCCACTTTTAGTTGTTTTTACCTGCATGGTCACGTTTATTTATTTCAGGTACTTATATAGCGTCGTTAATTTATGCAGCACTTTACATATATAGTGCATTCACATCAGTCCCTGCAAAATCTAAGGTCCCTAACTTACATTCATACATACTAGGGCCAATTTAGACATGATCCATTTAACCTACCAACGTGTATTTGGAGTGTGGGAGGAAACCCACACAAGCACAGGGAAAACATGCAAACTACAGGCAGGTGGTGCTGTGGCTGGGATTTGAACCAATGACCCTAGTACTGCTGGGCAGAAGTGCTAACCATTTAGCCACTGTGCTCTGTGGCTTGAGTGAACAAACGAACTTCTGTATGTGTGTGTACAAGTATGTAAGTATTCATCCTTGGCAATGTAGTTCTATTTGGTTCCAGATTATCCATATCCTAACTTCTTAAAATGTAAAATCTAAAAAAAGTCCCACCATGACACAACCAAATCCAATTCACCATATCTGTATTTCATTATGTCAATTACATCTAATCTCAGTTAAACCCACGTGTTTTTGCCATACATGCTTCCACCAAAATACCAAAGGCTATGAGGTGTACATTAAGAGTTACATTTAATAATTTAAACATAAAAAATGATGTAAATAATATGCAGTGAAGAAGTTTACCACTTTCAAAACAAAGAAAACCACTGTACGTGTGTTTTCAGTGGGTTGTTGTTTTGTCCTGGAAAGAGAAAAGTAACTGCAAGTGTGATGGTAGCATTGTAGAGACAGTTCAAATGGCTGACTGCCATGAGTAAAACAGAAAGATCTCCACTAGCCAGGAGGGAGGTATACACATGGACTGTACACTTTGTTTCTAATTCCCTCCAGCCATACCTATCCTTGAATATGAGAATATCCTACCCCAAGGAAACACCATCCCATTTTTTCTCTAATGCCTTCTTTGTTTCCTACTCAACAGTGTTCAGTCTATATCCCAAACAAAGCTATCACACTCAGCGTTCCAAAAGCATGGTCAATATAAGTCCATAAAATATTTGTGAATCCATAAAATAAAGACCTCACATGTTTATACATCGATCTTTCAATCCAGTAACCCAGGTGTGTCCAACTTTTTTACTTTCCTGGGCCACATTGGAAGAAGAGGAATTGTCTTAGGCCACGCATAAAATACACTAACAATAAGGATATTTGATGAGGAATAGTCAGGCAGAGCACAAGGTAATGATCACTGATATAGATAATGTACCTATCTGAATAATAAAACTTTATTTTATTATTATTACAAAAAAAATGTATTATTTTGTAATATTTTTTTATTATATAAGTAAAAGAGAGCAACATAAAACTAGTGCGATATTTGGCACTGTTTTTTTTTATAAACTAACTCATCAATATTTGGTTCAGTGGATTCAGTAGCAATTCTCAATGAAATCTCAAGGTGCTCAGCAGATATTTTGGTTCTAATTTTTGCCCTTTGTGTGCTTCATCCTTGAAAATAGTTGCTTACAAATATAGGTGCTGCTGAAAACCGATGACATGAATAAGGCGTGATTGTGAAGAGTGGGATATTTTTCTTTGGAAAGATTAAATTTATAAAAGTACAGTAAAGGGACTCTGGCCAGATATGTTCGCTAAGTGAAAATGCATGTTTTAAAAATTCCCCCCCATAAAATTAATATTTTTAAGTATGTTTACCATTTTGTGTTGGCCTGAATTCATAGTCATCTTGGGCTGCATGTGGCTCATGGACCAGGTTGGACACCCCTGCAGTAACCAAAGTTCATTCAGAGACACTAAAGTATATGATTACTCGGATTACCCTCTTTACCTCAGAAGAAATTTCCCTTCTTGCAATCCCCATTGCTTATTGGTTTGAAAGATCAATGGATAGACATGTAAGTTTATTTATTTATTCTCAAGTATTTTAATGACTGACTTCTTTTAGAGTGTGATAGCTCTGGTTTTGATATACAGTTGTAAGAAAAAGTATGTGAACCCCTTGGGATTACGTGGAGTTTTGCATGAATTGGGCATAAAATGTGCTCTGAATGTCATCTAAGTCACAACAATAGAAGAACACAGTCTGCTGAACTAATACTACACAAACATTAGATGTTGCCATGGTTTAATTGCACATAACATGTAAACATTCACAGTGCAAGGAGGAAAAAGTATGTGAGGCCCTAGCTTAATGACTTCTCCCAGTGCTAATTGGAGCCAGGAGTGAGCCAACCTTGACTCCAATCGGTGTGATGATATTGGATGTGTTGCTGACAGCTGTCCTGCCCTTAAAAAACACACACCTGTTTTGGGTTTACTGGTTTCAAGAAGCACTGTCTGATGTGAACCATGCCTCGCAGAAAAGAGCTCTCAGAAGACCTACAATCAAGAATTGTTGACTTGCATGAAGCTGGAAAGGGTTACAAAAGTATCTCCAAAAGTCTTGATGTTCATGTGTCCATGGTAAGACAGACTGTCTACAAATGGAGAAAGTTTAGCACTGTTGCTACTCTCCCTAGGCATGGTCGTCCTGTAAAAATGACTGCAAGAGCACAGCGCAGAATGCTGCATGAGGTAAAGAAGAATCCCAGAGTGTCAGCTAAAGACCTACAGAAATCTCTGGCACATGCTAACATTTTTGTTGACACATCTACAATAAGGAAAACATTAAACAAGAAGGGAGTACATGGGAGGACACCACGGAGGAAGCCATTGCTGTCCAAAAAGAATATTGCAGCACGTTTGCAGTTTGCAAAAGAGCACCTGGATGTTCCACAGCACTACTGGCAAAATATACTGTGGACAGATGAAACCAAGATTGAGTTGTTTGGGAAGAACACACAACACTATGTGTGGAGAAAAAAAAGGCACAGCACACCAACATCAAAACCTCAACCCCACTGTAAAACATGGCGGAGGGAGCATCAGGGCCTAGAGGGATTGTTGTCATTGATGGGAAAATGAATTCCAGAGTTTATCAAGACCATCTGTCCGCCAACTGAAACTCCGCAAAGGATGGGTGATGCAACAGGACAATGACCCAAAGCATACAAGTAATTCAACAAAACAATGTCTGCAACAGCACAGAATACGCCTTCTGGAGTGGCCCAGTCAGAGTCCTGACCTCAGCTAGATTGAAATGCAGTGGCATGACCTTAAGAGAGCGATTCACACCAGACATCCCAAGAATATTGCTACACTGAAACAGTTTTGTGAAGAGGAGTGGTCCAAAATTACTCCATATCGTTGTGCAGTTCTGATCTGCAACTACAGGAAATGTTTGGTTGAGGTTATTGCTGCCAAAGGAGGGTCAACCAGTTATTAAGTCCAAAGGTTCACATACTTTTTCCTCCCTGCACTGTGAATGTTTACATGTTATGTGCAATTAAACCATGGCAACATCTAATGTTTGTGTAGTATTATGTTCAGCAGACTGTGTCCTTCTATTGTTGTGACTCAGATGACGTTCAGAGCACATTTTATGCCCAATTCATGCAAAACTCCACGTAATCCCAAGGGGTTCACATACTTTTTCTTGCAACTGTATGGTGAGTTCTGTTGATATCTTGAGTGTGTTTTGAATTAAAGGAGTTCTCCTATGAACTAGTAGCTACTAAACTAGGGTTGTACCATACTCTCTGTGTGCAGTAAAGCATAATTTATTTTCTACTCCATTTCCCATTTTTACTTAATACCTCTTAAATCCCTTCCTTCTTATACCTTATATCTGAATGTGAGATTGCCTCATGGATAACTATTTCACTGATTGAATTTAATGATACAATCTATATCAAACTCGGGAAGTAACTATCATCTCCTTAGGGCTCTTTCACACAGAACAGCTTCTGCTCCGATCAGTAGGGGATCCGTAAGCAAATCTCCTGCTGAATTGGAGCTGAACAGGACACCCAGAGCTGCATGGAGCTTCTGGTCAGATCTGCCCGATTGGTGGACCTGATCGGAGATCCCGTGCAAAAGGGCCCTGAACCAGTTCTGTTGTAAGAAGCATGTCCCTGTGAAGGTTTTCAAGTAAAACTCTTAAACAAAATGAAAATATTGATTCTGAGAGTAGAAAACCTTTGAAAGTATTTTGAGTTCACACAAATGTTTAAATACTGGCTCAATAAAAAGCCCGATTGCCAAAAAATGTTGTTTACCACTGATATTATATTAACCTGTATATTATGCCTCACTACTAGAAACATACACAATATATATTTTGATATAACACACCATTTTCCATATATTCGGTCACAATATAAATAGGTTCCTGGGTCACCACAGCATTTAAACGGACCAGTCGCGGATGCTGTAGTTGTTTCATCAGATTAGCCTCAGCTAGGAATGCTTCTGCTGACATTGTGCCTTGTTTAAGGTTCTTTATGGCCACTTTTGTATGCCCATTGTAATACCCTGTACAAAAGGACAAAAAAAAAATGTAATGTAGAAAAATAAGAAAGATCATATAATTTGCATATGCCCATACATTTACATAACCAATGTCTTATTTTTTTTTTTTTAAAAGTCTTCAAACCATCAATTTCCTTTTCCTTAGTGGAATATGACAACTGAAAATGACTCTAGGTTTGTGCTGTCACCTCTATACTTACAACCCCTTTCCAAGAAAGTTGAGATGCTGTGTAAAATCTACATAAAAACAGAATGCAATATTTGCAAATCTCATCAACCCATATTTTTTTTCACAATAGAAAGCAGAAGACATATCAAATGATAAAACTGAGAAAATTTACCATTTTAAGAAAAAACGTAATTTTGAAATTGATGGCAGCAACACATCTCAAAAAAGTTTGGAAAGGGCCATGTTTAATTAGTGTAGCATCCCCCTTTTTTTAACAACACTCTGTAAACGTCTAGGGAATGAGACCAGTTGCTGGAGTTTTTTTTAGAGAGGAATGTTGTCCCCTTCTTGCCTGATATCGGATCCTAACAGTATCAAGGGGGCCCAAGAGCTGTAGATTTAGAAAAGTCCTTGATGAAGACTAGTTCAGTATTGCACCTGTGCGCCCTCTCCCCTTATCTGGCCCAGAGGGTGTAGGAGTACTCACTCTGTCTTTCGCTGTTTGCTTGGTTGGTTGGTGGCTGCCTTCAGGCCCTATGCTGGGCTGGCTCCTTCCCTGCTTCACAGGCCATCCTCCCAAGGAGATGATGGGACAAAGGAGATCCTCCCTTTTAGAATCTTGCCTGAAGATGGGCTCCCTTCCCTGGGGCCCCCTCCCAAGCTCCACACTCCAGCCTTCCTCTCAGTCCATCTTCCACCCGACACTGCACACCTCCCCCCTGGCTCTGCCACATTTGAGGGTTGCCCTGGTCATCATGCCCAGCCTCCTGCCAGAGGATTGGACAGGGTCCCTCAAACATGCAGATCTGGGCCTCCACCCCTCCTCCAGAAAGCTCTTAGGTTTCTGAAGAGGTGGGAGGGCTACAGAAGCCCTGACCTGATGGAGCCTCCCAGCCTGTCCTGAGTTAACCTCACTTTCCAGGCTGACTCATCCCCAGGCTGCTTATGAGCCTCTGTCTAAAAACTGTCCAACTAACCTGGAGGGCTTTACATATGATATACTTATCTATCTATCTATCTATCTATCTATCTATCTATCTATCTATCTATCTGTCTATCTATCTATCTGTCTATCTATCTACCAATGCTAGCAGCATAAGGATTCAAAATAGTCAGTGTTGACTGAGAGAGTGAAGTTCCACTTTAAGCACCTGGACTCTTCTACTAAGAAGCCATACTGTTGTTCTAGTTGCAGTGTGCAGTTTATCACTGTCCAGGTGAAATATACAAGGCCTTCCCTGATAAATAACATTGTCTGGATGGGAGCGTATGCTACTCTAATACCTGGATATACCTTTCAGCATTAATGGTGATTTCCAGCTGTGCAAGCTGTCCATCCCATACACACTAATGCACCCCCATACCATCAGAAATGCAGGTTTTTGAACTGAGCACTGATAACAAGCCAGAAGGTCCCTCTCCTTTCTAGTCCAGAGGAGCCCAGGGTTGCCGAAAGAATGTCAGTTTTCTACTTTGCAACAGGCCATTATAAATGAGCTTTGGCCTAGAGAAGACGTCAGTACTTCTGGATCATGTTCAGATATGGTAGAGCTTTTTTTTGCATTTCGTTATGGTTCAGCAAAATGTGTTCACAGACAGTGATTTTTGGAAGTATTCCTAAGCCCATGCAATGATGTCCATCACATAATTATGGCAGTTTTTAATGCAGTGCTGTCTGAGGGCCCGAAGATCACAGGCATCCAATTTTGCGTTTCAGCCTTGTCCTTTGTGCACAGAGATTTCTCTGGATTCTCTGTCTTTTGATGATATTATGTATTGTAGATGATATTTTTAGTGTTTGCAGATTTACATTAATAAACATTATGCTGAGATTGTTCAACAATTATTAGATGCAGCCTTTGAGATCTTGGTGAACCTCTGTCCATCTTTACTTCTAAAACACCCTGACTCAATAAGATGCCCTTTTTATACCCTGTTATGTTACTGACCTGTTGCCAATTAACCTAATTACTTGCAAAATGTTTTTCCAGCTCTTCCATGTTAGTGCAACTTAGGCTGGCCACACATTATACAATTATCTTCCAATTTTCTGCCCAATTTCCTTTAGATTTACCTTCAACTGTGTAGTGCAAGGGCCTGCCTAATTGGATACAACTGAAAGTGTTGTTTAGGTTTGTCCTCCTATTATATGGTTTTTGGTAAATCTAAACCAAAAATCTCCAGATAATTGTATAATGTATGGCCAGCCTTACTTTGTCAGCTTTTTGTTACCCTGTCCTAACTTTTTTGAGATGTGTTGCTGCTATCGATTTCAAAATTACCTTATTTTTTCCTAAAATTGTACATTTTCTCAGTTTAAACATTTGATATGTTTTCTATTACCTATTGTGAATAAAATATGGGGTTTATGATATTTGCAAAGCATTGTATTCTGTTTTTATGTAGATTTTAAACAGCGTCCCAAACTTTTTTGAAATTGGGGTTCGAACCATGGAGCAGCTGTACTGTAATTATAAGTGCATCTGCACTAGGTTTTCCTTATTTCCCCCCTTCAAAGTCCCACAAATACTTGTTGATCCTGCCAGCAAAGTCCACCTAAGGGCTCATGCACACATGCATATTGCTTTTACGTAGGATCTTGCTGGCAGCTGTCCTGTATAAAAATTTGTACTGCATCTGAACTCATATGGACATACATCTGCTTAATTTATATGAGCTGAGATGTGTACAAGAACCTTGTATGGCCTTTTATTTCTTCCATGCCCAGTAAATATTTTGAATGCATCATTCACTAGGTGGCAAGGGGGAAGAGGACCAGCATGTAAACAATAGTCTGTAATGGATAGGTGTTGCCACTGCAGAATGAATGAGTTAATAATGCGGCGAACATGCATAGAATAACATTCCGAATGACTGAAAGCCAAGATCATTCTGCGCATTCATTGCCACTGCATGATTAATTCATCCAGGGCCAACATGTAAACATCCATAGTGTGCTGTCAGCAGCAGTGGTGTCCGCTGATAACACACTGTTGTTTGCATGTCAGCCCTGAACAGTAGCGACAGGTCCAGTAAGCTGTATGCAAGTAATTGTTAGCACAAATATAAGAGCTCATGTACACTGCAGCTGATAAACTCACGTTTAGGAGCTGTTCAGCATTTTTTTCAGCAGCCCCTGAACTCACCCTAATGTTTTCCTATGTGTCCATGTACACATCGTCGTTTACAGGCAGTTGAGTTTACAGTCGTTTTTTTGAACGCAGAAAACTTGCGTTTAGGAGTAGATTTTATCAGAGTTTCAAACGCAAATGCTTGTAAACGCGGCTGACCGCGTTTATAAGCGTATGTGTTTGAAAATTTTGGTTAACTCTTCCATTTCCAGATGCTGTCCAGAGCCTTTTGTCATCACAAAAAATGCATGCAAAGCCTTTCCCTGGTACTCAAATGGACCTGAGGACTTTGACTTGGATTTTGAGGTTTCGCATGAAAGAAAATATGTTAGACACTGCTGCAATAGTTTTCTGCACATAAATGAGCTGGGACAAATCCAAACACCACAAAAAAAAAAAAAAGACAGCTGATCTCAACAAATACTGTTCTCTCTGCTTCTACTCTCTCTATTTTTCTCATAATGTCTGAAATAGTTAATAATTTTTTACTGTTTTTCAGTGCATTCTGGGCATTTTGGAAGGTCTCCGGAGGTTATCTTTAAAAAGTGCTTCTAAACGCAAATGCACATAAATGCACATAAACGTGGTATGCAAACGCGGCTAAACAGACGTTTTTAAATACGTTTTCCAACAGTCAGTTTCCATCCTTCAAAAGTGTCCCGTGTACGTGGGGCCTTAACATGCCAACAGGATAAAATACAGTTCAAGCTCAGGAATGTGAACGCTGATTTTTCTAGTTCTGGTTAACACAGCTAATGCTGCAGTCCAGAATGGAGCGGTGTGCATAGACACAGAACATATAATACAGCTGCGTTCAGATCCCCATAAATTACAGATCTGAATTCAGCAAATTGTATGCCTCTGTGCATTAGCTGTAATTCATCTTCCTGTGGTGGGGCACCAATGCTTCACTCCCCCAAAACTCAGAGCAGAGTTGTCATTCATTGCAATACCATGTTATTGGCAGAAGTGAGCTTGGTAAGTCGCAGTCACCATGAGGAATGGACCAGTTATCATCTATGACCAAATTTATACCATAAGGGTGGGTTGTTATTTTAAATCTTTAATGACCAATTCGATTTTGTTATTATGTTGTTTTTCCGCTTGTCTTTCTTTCTCTTTAACCCCCCCACCTTATATTTTAATATTTTATTTTGTTTGTTCTTCTTTCCCTTTTTTTCTTTTCTTTTCCTCTTTATTTTTTCTTATGCATTTACCTAGATTAGGCAGTATGTGGCTGGTGGTACAGGTGGGAGTGCCACAGTGGCGAGCCTGTCTCTGGATGGGAGATATATCTATCTGTGTAAATGGGCTTTCCAAAGTGACCGCGGCATTGTGACATTTTTCCACGATGTTGTGCATAATGACATCATCACGTGACACACATGAAGATGTGATGGGGCGCATGTGTGGTGTGAGCGGAACGCCACTCGTGGTGCCATTTTCTGTTATTCAAAGCCCTGCTTTGAAAAGATTATATCTATTGCTTGGCTCCATGATACATTATATGCACCAGTTATACCAGCCTTCTTTGGGAACCCCATGAGAATGGAATGTTGGTGTCTGAAGGGCTACTTATTATTGTAATTATAGGTATTTATTCTTATGGCTTTGTTTTCTTTGAGCTAAATGGTCGGTTTGGCTGCATTGCTTTATTTATTCCAATAAATACATTTTTTATCCTTTAATGAGGGATCCCTTGA